AAGATTGGGGTTGAGGGTCGAGCGCAAAAAAACCCACCTTGACAGGTGCAAGCGGAGGTCTCATGGGGGGTCAGAGAAGGGTGCTTCGGGGTAAGACCACTTCTCGGACGCCTCATACACCTAGACTTCCGGAAGATATCAAACGCATGCACAGAGCTACCAAGCCACGAGAATTCCTGTTGAGGCATAGAAGTGCGTGTTCCAGAAGGCAGGGTTTCGCAGGCTGATGCTGCGAATTGTGATGTTCTCGCAGAACATGCACTGAATCAGTGATGGACGCCCATACTGCATCGGATGGTGTTTGCTGAAACGTGACCACCACCAGCTACCGTTTCCATCAATGATGCTGTCATCATGACTTGCACCTTGGTACCAAAGTTTGGCCGTTGTCATGTGGCAAGAATATTACATCTGCAGTCCACCCTGATAAGCTCGAGCTCTGGCTTTCATCTTCAGCCCAGCCACTTGAACCTTCAATAACCACATCTGAGATGCTGTGGCCAAAGAGAAGAGCAGCATGCCTGAAAAGGCACTTCTTATCTGCTGTCGCTTAAATGTTCAACTTCCGGAGTCAGAACCAGCAATGGCCTTCTGGAAGGGTCCAGCGCCCAGTCACGGTTCAGGCCGTAGCTGGGGAGAGCAGGAAGCAGCGGGTATGACTCTGGTGCCGATACCTCTCGCAGCATCTTCAGTAATTCAGGGACAGGACTTCATACATCTCAGTATGCCAAGCAATACATCGCTTCCAAACTGCTGCTTGAGGCAAGTAGCACCGACTAGCTTGCTACCTTTAAGCAAGCGCAGCGTCATCCTGCTGCTGAGGTTCACAGAGCCAATGACAAACGTGCCCTGTGGTATCCTCAGAACGACGAGCCCGATTGGTTCATCATCCATGCTTCATGGAGCCGCGCGTCTGTCAACACCAAACGGGACGTGCGCGATCAAGAGTCTCCAGTATGAGTCGTTCGGATCGGACGGCACCTCTGGTCATTCACATGCTCCGACTTCACCCACGCAGGTCCCAAGTCAGTGTTGTGCTGTAACGATTGTTGGTTTGGGGTTGCAAGATTATGAAGTTTTCGTCTTCTCCTCGTCCTGCTGCTGCCCCTGCAGAGCCCCCCTACTGAATGTCCTGCTTGAGCATGCCCTAGCATCCCTGCAGTGCCCTCACTACCACTGCATCGCCATACAGTGCCGCGCCAGCATCTGGGGACCGCATGGAAGCCATGTGCAGACTACAAAGGATTCAGGGGTTCTGAAAATGTGGGATCCTTTTGGGTGGTCCTGTTTTCCCTAGATTCAAGAAAGGGGGTCCATCGCTGGGCATCGCTACCCTCCCCCGCAATGACCCCAATATCCAAAGACCCTGTTACCCAAACAGCTTCGTGATGGGTCTGCGCAAAGTAAATAATAATGAAGAAGACTCTCAAGTATGTTTGCTTAAAAATGCAGTCATGCTGACAAGAAATCAGGCATGCTGGAGATTTGCAGGTTGGTGCTGGTGCTGGACAAAGGACCGGGGTTGCGTTTCTGATCATGTGGACTTGGTGCTTGGCTGGCTGGCTTTGCAAATACAGTCCGGAAGGCTCATACGTTTCTCCATGACATTGAGCGGACCACATGTTTTTGAGATTAAAGCCAGGGGGCCGCAACTCTGCAAAGCCGCACGGAAGGCTTCGGTGCTGTCTGTTCGGCCATCTCCAACAGCTCCAAACTGACGGGGGTCACAAACGGTCCGCGCCTGAAAGCAACCACAGAAAAGCGCTCATAAACAACCACATGCGCACTATGCCACACCTACATTCAGCGACAGACTGTGGCAATCGGGACCAGCCAAGCAGCCAATCTATTCTCTTGAGATGCGGGAGGATGCTCAACGGGTCCGGATTCGGATCCCGATTGGTTTTCCTTAGGTCGCCCCGTTTTGAAGCATGGCAAGCGATTTCTGGTACAGCTGCTAGGGGCACTACGGACAAAGAGCGCTTGCTTGCTCTGCGCATGCACACTTGCTAAGCTCTGCACGTCGCCGTAGAACGCGTCGCTCCTGTTTGAAGGGTCCGTGCGCGCATCGGGCTCTCGCGGTGACACGGATTTCTCGCCAACGGAGCCTTGCTGACAAGCATTCACAAAATTCACAAACGCAGCCGCTGCAGCTCTAACTACATGCATTCACATGCCAGCACTGCTGCCAGCATGATGCTGGAGCCATGATTCGTCCAAGCAACTCGCGGCATGGACATTAGCATAAATCGTGGCAGTGGCGAAGGCGCCAGCCAGCACCATGATGAGAAATTTTTCACTGGGCAGACGCGCGCTGAGAATGGCATGTCCACAGCAGAAGCTGATAGAAAGTCAGGACAAAATCTTGGCACGTCAGGGGGCTAAGGCCAGCGCCAGAGTCTTGCAAGCATCTTTGGCTTCCTGTAGAGCTCAGCTGGCTCTGGATACTTTGAACTGAGATGAAGTCCGGAAGGCTGAGCTCGTTGCGCACTTTGAGGCCCAAACGGCCTTGGCTCTGCGAGCATCGGTGCTCAGCCGTCCCGCTTGCTGCACGGAAATCTCGCGGCATGGCGAGTGTGAGCAAAGGCTCACTTTGGCTCCGCACACGAGACATTCATCATGCGTTGAGCTGCGCTGGAGCTCTAACTCTAGGGCTGTCCAACATGATTTTGGGAGGCGACACGTCACCTGCGTGTGATCCCTTGCTAAGGCTGCAGGCAAACAAGATAAAGGGCTGCCTTGAAATTACTACGGAGAAGATGTTGCAGCTTGGCCCCACTGCATTGTATCGACAGCGTAGCCTACATCTGGATACGCTTGACTGCAAAGATCCTACAGCATGTATGTACATGTCTGCACCATGCTCACAACTTCAAAGTACGTACATTCATGAGATATGGGTAAATATGTAGTTGTACAAACAGTTGTACAAACATATGGAAACCTCCTCACCTCCGAACCACCCCACCAGCAAAATCAGTAATGTGTGTGGTATACGAGACTGATACTAAAGGCTGAAATCCAAAGCCCGTGTGGTTGGATGTTGAAGGTATGGCACCTTTCTCGGTCCCGAATCAAGTAGGGTCCTGACATTAGGTAAGCTAAAAGGTACCACGATTTTGAAGAACCTTGACAACCGTCCATATATGTATAAGTGGATACATATGCATTCATGGGCTGGATTATGTCTAACTAAATGGTTTGTAGCTACGCAGCAAATACCAAATGGACTGCTATGCAAAAACATCACCGCCGTGAAGCATTGAAACAATGACTTTCCATATTTGGGGATCCCAAATTCCAGGATTCTGTGAGACTTTCTTGGAATTTTGGCATCAGAATATTGAAGCTCAATATGTCCATAGCATTTCTACAATTTGAGCCCAAAACTTCTAGGTGCGGGGCGGTGTTCCCAAGAATTGTTCAATCTCGGAATTGAAGAGCAAGCACTTAGTATGTCAGTCTATGATCAAGTTTTGAATCCATGGTCGTTGAAAAGATCAAGAAAGGGTCACCGAGAATCTCTGAACCTAAATTTTAGATGCGGGTTCAAGATTTCAATTGGATTTTACTATTTCTGATGAATCCAGCCCGCTCAGTATGTAAACCTCTAATACCTATGACCTATGGAGCCCAATGGGCTTGGGCTTTGGGTGCAACAGCGCTAGGATTGATATCCAAAGGAATCCTGAGCGTGGGTCTTCTCTAATTCGAACGCTGTTTTGTGTTGGGCGTCTTTCAGGCTTAAGGGGCTAACAAATTGTTTAAGCCCTAAATTAGGGTCAAGGGTTTTTTACGAGGAGCTTTTTGTGAATTATCCGTTTACACATTGGCATTACAGTGCACAGCTCGCTAACGATGGCGGAGGGCGCACCCTCATTGAGAAGAGATCGTGCAAATAAAGCCTGTGAGTGAGGCAAAGCTGCAGCAGCTTGTCCTGACAGAACGGCACTGGCTGTACAAATCCAAAGCATCCGTTAAGCTTTTGGAGTCCTCCAAGTGGAAGAGCAGAATGACTCCTCGCTTGTTTTTTGGCATTCATTTGGCGAATGGCTATGGAGCGTTGCAACTGGAAACTCGATGAGGCACGCTGCGTGCAGCAAGGGCACGATTTAGGAGCAAATCCTGGCTCGTCTCCACCTGGGTGTGCTCCAGGACAACGACACAATTGTTCATCATCAGTGGAAAGTAGGGTTTGGGGAATGGAAGTCCGGCATCTTATGGTATCAAATGCTCCAGCCTTTTTGACCAGGTCTTGCGCTCGCTGAGCTTTGCCGACCTCAGCCGCTGAAAGCAAATCGGACTTGAACAAGGCATAAAAACCGTTTTGTTACGTGCTTTGAGCTCTTCCACAACATGCCCGCAACGATCCCAGCGGCGGACCCTGTTGTTCGGACAGCTAGGGGAGAGCACATAGCACCTTCGGACCTTGGTGAAACACTCTTTCTCCTTCAAACTCAAAGATCTGCTGACACTGACACCACCGCCAACAACGCCACCACTACCGCCATCTCCTCCACCAAACCGCGAAACCACAACATGGACCTCATAACAGAAGGACAACAACAGCAAGAACAGCAAGAAGCAATCACATTGCTTTACCAATCTCGGTGATAGCAGCACAATCATGCTTCAGGTCACTTTTCCGCACATCTTGACGAGTTTGCAGCGGTTGTGACGAGGTCATGTACTTGACAGCGTCGCCGCGCTCTTGACTTGTCTTGGCGTTGCGCGCCTGCCGCCTTGTTCCTTGCTGTTGCCCCAACTTCGTTGCTTAATGAGGGCTAATCTAGCAGTTGCAGAGGCTGGGATGCAGATGGTTGCTGGCATGCCTACAGGGCCTACAGCATCCTCAACTGCACTTCCTCGCCCCGCCCATTGCATCAAATCATCAAGTCGTAGCCTCTCTGGAGTGCAGTCGGCTTGCTGCTTCCCCGGGGTGCTTCATACCCTTGTTAGGTAGCTGTGAAAACTGCGATCTGGGCCATCTGGGCCAGGGCCCTCACGTAGATTCTGACGGATTCTGATGCTGCTCCCAACCTTCCCCAGCGACTTGCCCCGGCGAGAGTTCCACAGAACGGATGTAACACGCGCTTCGTGCAAACGTGGCACGTAAGGCATGTGAGTATAGCGCTGTGTCGACCCGGTCGTTTTATCTACAAATACCAGCTGCATCTAATGCAGCTTCTTGGGCTTGTGTTGCACAGTTTCAATCAGGAAATCATGAAAGTGATGGATGGTGCACCCAGCAAGCTTGGCATGCACTGCGCGTTCGGCCACCAGGGCTAGTAGCTGTTGGCCAGGCATTCGAGACTGTTTCACCTAGGCCCGAAAAGCTCGCTGCATAGGCAGGTTAATCTATCTCCGCCATGTACCTCCAGTCTTCAAAGGGCCTGAAGTTCCAAGGCCATTGCCCTCAGTTTCGGCAACTAAGGCCTGCTGGTCAATTTCTGCAGGCTGTGCCTATGAGCGCGCGATCCGATTTGTTTTGTCGCCGTTGTTCCTTGCATGATGGCAGAACCTGCTGCAGCCCATGTGGCATCGGACACCATGCTTTGCGTACTTTGCGCAGCTGGGGCCGGCGCTCTTTCGTCCCAGTCAATACGATCTCGAGGTAGTCCGAAAGGACAACATCGATAGTCCTGTCTTGCCCCGGAAGGAAAGACTCCCAAGCTGAGATTCAACCTGTCAGATTGCTCAGAGCCTCCCTATGAACTTTCAGGTGCACGCCTGGAAGACTTCATCCCAATTGCCGTAGCTTTCCCTGGCCTTAGGAAAAGCTGTGATCGTTTGCAGTGTCGAAGCATTCCTGCTAGCCCACGGCCTTTGCTAGAGTGATCCGTAGCGCCGGATTGTAGAAGGCCGGCGACTTGACGTTGCAACCCTGACAGCGATCCAGCTGCTGCAATTTGAAGATTGCACGGTCACGATGCATCAGAATTCTTGGAAAGAGCAGCAGCATGTCTGTCAGTATGAGTACTGGCCTTTGTGGTGCAGCATTCCTACGCTTATGCCCGCCTCTGGCAAATTTCTCCGGCGAACCTAAGTGGCAAGATCCACAAGCGAGCAAGACTTAAGACCTACCTTAGCTGAAAAAAGGCGTGGAGCTTCAGGAGGCTCATGCTGAGGCCAAGCATTCTGGTCAGCTTGCGTTGCACATCAGCATGTAAGATCTTGTAAGATGAGCTGCTACAGGCACCACTGCTCATGGGCTACTCCGATGACATGTCAAGTCTTTTGCCGACACATAGGACCGCACCGTACTCCGGTGGTTACATCAAGTTGCATTTCTACAGCCTAAGAAGCTGCGGATTTGTTGACAATCGGAATACGATAAACAAAAGTCAACAGGCTGGCTCGCAAGTTGCAGGCAATGCTGCCAAGAAGCATTGGCGATTTGCCATGTCGACCGCTCCGGCACAATTTTGCCAGTGAGGCGCCCAGCGCAAATGCTGAAACTGGCAGCAGCATTTCAAAAACTAAAGTGGAGTGCGCACACGGAGCGAAGGATGCAAGACATCGTCTGCAGCAGCCTGTCTCCACGCAGGAATACACTCAGCCTCAAATGGCCGACTTCTAGCACGACATCAAGATACCAGCATCTGAGGTAAGCACGTGTCTGCCGAAATGTCCGCTGCAAAGACCTCCTCCAAAGGGACTCGAGCCTTGCGCTGCTGGCTTCTCCAGAAATGGAGCCAACTTGTGCGCCCTCTGAGGGAAATACCGTGGCGCTCTCCAAGGCTTCTTCGTCCAAATGAATGACCTTACCACTGCTACATGAACATGCTTTTACTCTTACTTAGCCTCCATCGAGCCTGCAGTTCCAGTCAGAGAAGATTTGACCATTTGATGCTGCTTAGGAAGAGGCTAAGTCAGGCGCAGGCAGGAATCCACTACCCAATGGTCGTCAAAAAACGTTCATTCAACTGTGCATGAACAATCTCAGCACTTCCGATTTTTCACGAGACCCGGGCCAATTGTAATGCAGCTTCAGACTCGCTGACATTGATTCCAGTGCAAATCTGCCTGGTGGTTGCTACCAATCACTTGAGCTTACAAGAGCACAAAGTCATCTAACTAGAGACAGTTCAAAAGCAAGGAACTCCGGAGTCATTGCCGTGCTGATTTCATGATTCCAGTCCTGCGTACCATGGTCACTGCTTGCTTTGGCATGTGTTGCATCGTTGGTTGTCTACTGGGGTGCACTGGTACGCAACCGTACACCGAATCAGCAGGTTCTAGCGGTGGCAGGGCGCCAGCAGTGTCCTCTGGCTCTCCTGGCTCGATGTTCTTAAAGGTCTCAACGTCGATCTTGAGATCCTGCCGGAGCTAGGCTGACGAAGATGACGGCCCAGCTGAAACACCAGCGCTGGCCTTCAGGATTCCTTTCTGCCCCTGACAGACCATGCCGCTGCCGCTGTCCGAGACCAATGCCCAAAAGGATTGTGAAGTAAACAGTGGAATCAGTAGAAGGAGTGTGAAGGAGTGTCAAGTTTCTGGGCACCACCTGCCTGATTCTCTCTCCAGCCAAAGAGGCCCTTCTTGTGCGGATTCAAAGCACCTGAAGGCTCCGTCATCAGAATGTAAAGCTGACGCTCTTGCTATCTGCCCTCTGCCTGGGTACCAAGGGCTGGCCCAGGATCGGTGCCGTGATTTCGCAAGATAGATGTACAGGGCCCTGGCTGTTCAGAACGGATCAAGCATGGGGTCTGCAAGATCACTGGCATGTAGGCATGACCATAGGGTTTGTGAAGCAGAACGCTGGCTGATCAGACTGTACTGTAGTGTGCGGAGCACACACAAGTTTCTGTGGTCATTCTACCTCCGTTATCAGTACACCTAGTACGAACTTTCCTAGAAAAATACTCGAGGAAGGTAGTTGTGTCTCCGCTTTTCAAGTAGAGGACAAACAAAGGCAGCCAAGCATTGCCAGAAGTATCTATCATCGACCATCCACCGGTGGCCGGCCTTTCTGTCGAGTTCTCTTGGGCTGTGTCCACCTGCCATCCGATGCATATCGTCGAGCATCATTGCCAACATGAGAATGCGCAGCGGCTTGACGGCAAGTGCATGTCCCGCGCTTCTTTGAAGCAACCCTAGCCTCCTGCGCAATCACAGATTTGTGGCGTGCCTTCCACCAGGAAAGGTCTCGGAGAATGTCGTCGTAGACTTCCTGCTGCCGCAGATATGGAGAGCGACAAAAATGCCTCCGTTGCCTAACATGGCTTAACCTGTCCTGACACAACATGATTGCTTCTGCGCTTTCTTGGCCCAAATCGCCAAGTCCCACACACCCTTCATCAACTGAAGCCGCAAGACCGCAGCTTGGGCTGGTTGGGATTGTCCTTGCTCAGCTGCGATATTGGCTTACCTGCCAAACAAAGGCAAGCGCACCCCAAGACGTGGCGCCAAAAACACTACCGCCACGTTGACAGCATGCACAATGCACGAATTACCCTGAGTCTGCTCGATGAACAGTGTCAAGATGTGTTTAAAGCATCAAGTTTGAATAGGTAAGACCAAAAGTGAGCGATAGGCACACGTGTCTTTAGTGTTCAGAGGCCACAGATTGGTGACGAGATTGGCCGCCTTGAGCGGAGACCTTCAACTGCCAGCAAGACATCTCCACCTTTCAGCCACAGCTCTCGCCATTTTCCCGCAAATCGAGTAAAAACGTGGGATGGAATCCCAGCCTTGAAATCCTCTTCCTCCAGGTCCTTGTTGCTGTGCGTGAGGGGGTAGGTCAGGATCATCCTGCGATGAGAAGTTTACTGAATTTCTGCGGCTCCCTCTAAATTATTTTACGACAGTACAGAAGCTTTGCCAGCAGTTGGAGACTCATGCAGCGTACAAAGATACATGTGATCAAAGCGTCAGCTCCTTCCCATTGACTGCCGGTAATGAACCTTGCAAGCCGCCATGAACCCGGATTAGGAGTTGCAACCTTGCATGCTTTTACAGCTGGCGGAGCCTTGCATTCAACAAGATGTTTCTGGCTCAAGGCGCAAGTCCGTTGAAAGTGATATCGAGGAAGGTACGATTTCACCTCCTCACCGCTATGACACGTCTGCCCTCCAAGGGCAAGATGCGCTTTGCATAGACTGCACGAGCCTCAGAAGTTCATGCTGCTGTCCGCTGACGTCATCTCCCCTGCCAAGTTGTTGGCCAAGCTTCACCACTTTCTCCAGCGCTTCCACACGTGTTTCAAGGTCTGAGGGCTGTCGCAAAGCGACGAGTTCTCGTTCAAGCTGCGCGACAAGAGCTTGCCGTCGCATACAAATTTGCTGCAGCTCGGCGAGTGATCTCATAGACAGTGGAGGAATGCCAGTCTCTGCAACGCTTCCGCCGAGCGACACCATTGTGTCCATTCGTTGTGCCGTTCTTAGGCACCGAGTTCAGCAGAGATTCTACTTGGTCTGAGTTTATCTGCTCGAGGGGGCAAGTTGTTTTTTCGAAAGTAATAGTGCATGCGTAACACAATGATCAACCAATCACTGAATCAAGAGGGCTGGCTCGATCCCGCGGCTGCTGAGAGGGCTGAGGTTGATAAGCATGAAAAATGCTCTGTTTACCGTCTGATGTGTTGTATGGCCCTTGGCCAACCAGGCCCTAGGAATGCTGATGCTGCCGGGGCACCCCGTCCACCTGGCCAGCATCCTTCCTCGGCTCTGCTGTGATCAGCTCTGCTCTGGTGCAAAAAGGGCTTGTACAAGATTAGTACTATTAGTATTATGATTATTATTCTATATTATTCTATGATTAGTATGATTGGGGGCAGCCTGAGCTCGCGGCTGGGAAGGCAGCTGCCACCTGAAAAGGTTTGCTCACTGATTTGGACTAGGCTTCACCAAGTGAGTCGCGCACCTATAGACCACTGGGAAAGATCCTGAGATGGAGATCATGATTTCGAAAGACTCAGCAAGCGCACACGTACTTGCTTAAATCTCAGCCAGGCTGCTCAGGCGGAAGAAGGTACCATCCCAGGCCTGAGTCGCAAGAAAGAAAAATGGTTTGAAGACCCCCGACCGAACGCCAGTAAGATGCTGACACCCAGGGGCGTCAACTGCAAAGCTGACGGAACGGCTACCGCGTTCGGCTCGTCGGCGTTGGAGACGTCCGTTGTCTGGAGCAAAGCGGGTACACAGAAGGCGCATCAACGTTGTTCCCCGTGCCCTGTACTTCACAATGACGGCAGACATGTTGGGCTGTTTTTCGCAGCATGGATGATGCACGTGGCCATGAGCTCATCAGTGCCTCCACTGGAGCCATTCTGCCACGTGGCTCTTGGCCATAGTTTGACTGACATATGGCTTTTGATGTGCCGAGCACCGACAAGGGTCTGTCATGCTGCTCTTTCTCCCCTCAACAGGCCATCGCTAGGGTCACCTACCTTTCAAGGAGTGGAGAGGGCACTCTTTAAGAATCCACGCCAAACTACTCCCAAAGAGTCTGGAAGTCTTCGCGATGACCCTACAGCAGTGGCCACCGTCTTTTTGAAGCAATGCGTGCAGAGGGAAACCGCACTGTTGAATTCCAGGGCAGTAATTTGCTCTACCCAGCTAACGTGATTTATTGACACGATTTGACACACACCAAGAGGCTCGCGAGAGTTTCAGCAGGAAGGGCCCATACGGGCCGGGTGCCCAAACCCTGCAACAGAAGCCTCTGGCAGCAAAAGATGCTGGACAATTCAAGGAATCGTCGGGCATTTCGGCAAACAACGAGCCAGTCTTCGTCTGGAAACATTCGCTTCCAAGACAGAAAGACATGACATCGTCAAGCAGTCTACCGAGAAGGAAAACCATCGAATTTGCACTAACCGCTAGCAAACGGCTTGATGATGAATTCTGCTCAGTTTCCGGCACCACTCCCTGCTGTTGGCTGGCAGCCAGATGCCGGCATGCCAGCCCACACCTGCTTAAGGAGGCAATCAAGCCCCAGACATGTCAGCACCGTTCATGTCAGAACTTCATCATGCCCTCATGAGACATTGCAAGGAAGGCATGGCACCGGCCTCTCTGGAAGGCACAGTCTCACCTTTTAACACCTGGCAGATTCTTGGTTTCCAGCCACGGAGGCATGACAATCATGGTTGCTGCAGCAGCATGCGGCTACATGTCCCTTCATTCCCGGGCATCCCAGCCTGCGTATGTTCCATGAGAACAGCCTGGTGCAAACAAAAAAGTGTCTTGTAGCCCTCTTGCTGATTTCTGCGATTGGCTTCTAATTTATCAATACTAATAAAACTTGGTAGGGCTGCTGTGGCTAACCATGATTGCTTCTGTTCCTACTTATGCATCCAACACTTTCTCTCCGAGCAGGAAGATATCGCCTCATCCTCCACTACCGAGCCCGGCATGGCAAACGAGCCTGCAAAGCATGGGAAAATCAGATGTGTCGGGCTTAACATGGGTTGGTGGAAGATTGTCAGGCTTTAAGTTGAGGATTAGAAAGGAATGATGCAACATTGGCTTCAGAAGAAAATGAAGAAGTGACTGCAGGTCTGCTCTGGAAGCAACATGGGTGCAGGCAGTCGCATGCAGTCTCATGTCGCATGATGTTCTTCAAGCAGAAGCAGTTCAGGAGCGTGAATGCTCATCTACTGGAAAGGGCAGGTTGGCAAAATGGCGGCTTTGTTGTCCACGTATGCAGGCTTATCACATCTAATCACAAGAGACAATTGGCAAGATCAGACCCGGCCGCTGGTCAGAATTTGGAAGAAGCAACACGACGTAGTAGTGAACTCAAGTGCCGCAACTGCCGAGCTGCCTGGCAAAAGGGTCGCTCCATCACCGATCCTGCGCCCAAATGTTCTGGCCAGTTCTCAGGGAGAGGGCTTTACCATTCTGGGCAAATGCTTGCAAGTTCCTCGTCGGAGCTAGTTTTATGACCATGTTCTCGACAGTGTGGCCCGTTGTGTCACACCTGGGCAGGAGGCGAATCAGACTGACACATGCAAGGAACAAAAGCTTACACCCTTGACCCTGCGCGAACCGAGGCAAAGCTCAGGCTTTGCCTTTGCTAGAATACAATGTCGGTTGCAATAGCGTGCTTTCGAACTTGCAGGCGAATCTACTTCTCAAGGTGTAAGTCTTCCACATGCCCGTGCATGTGCCTTAATACTTGATGATGCATCAGTCAGGTCCCTGCACGGCAGTGGTTTGCTGAAATCTATGGAACATTCATCACATGGTCCACTTGAGGGGCGAGCCGAGGCCCACGAAAGCTAGCCAGGCTCTATCTAGCACTGCAAAGAGGAGGAGGGAAGGCACATGCCAGCAAGAAGCACAAGCCTCGTTAAGGGGGTTGGAAAACCCTTCGCAGAACCTCGCCAACTCGACTCCAGTGTCCACTTCTCTCTGCACTTCACTTTACACTCCACTTTCTTTTCCAGCTCTCTCCTCCCGACTTTCCCCATTCTC